AACTACATCGACGTCCTCATCATTACCCGCGCCTTGTTCATATTGGCCCACGTATGCTGCACCGACATATTTAAATGCTTCATCGAGAAGTTATCCTCCTCGTTTAACAACAAATGGCAATTCCATCCATCCGTCAATAGCCACAGGTGATTCATCGTTTCTCGGACAAGATACTTATGGAAATAATCCAATATTTGATTCGAATAAATTACTCGTCTCACCACAATTTGTTCATCCACAAAGTTTTAAAACACCTTATACGTCGTACGATTTTTTTACTCAACATAATGGAAAATATTAGTCATGATTAAATTCTATCTGTATACATACAGTTTATTTTTTAAAATTTAGATTGTCTTTCTTCTTTTTTCTGCCTTGATTCTAAACTTTATTCCGTTATTAAAAAAATGTTTTACGGGACAAGAACATACAATTTTGATGGATACTATGGGGTCATATTTCAGTTGTCTAGCAATATTTCTTGACAAAGATGGTCGCCGATAGGGCAACAGCCCAAAATATTGATGGAATAATCTCATTTGTTAACATTTAGATGTCACCTTGATCGTTTTGCTTTGCTGTGACCGCTAGTATATAACAATTACGGATATTTTTAGAAAATTTATCTTTCTGAGACACGTAAGCGATAGATAGTTCATTTTAGCTTAGCTTGTCCATTAGCCCAATCCTTTAGAGTATGATTAATTTCGTCCATGTTTTTGTCAGTTCCGCCATTCTGTACAACTTTTGAATCGACAGCTAGTGTCTATATAATGTTGGTTTTACCTGTAATTTGTGATGAACTCGTCTGGAATGCTTCAGGCTCACTAGTTCTTTGTTTTTTTATGTTTTGGAAAAAAATTTATGTCTGTGTTTGCAAAATTCCATTTAGTGAAAGAGAATACTTGGATCTCATTTCATTGCATATCATTTCACGTGAAGTATCTCTTTATAAAAACAAAATAACTCAAAATACGGAGTAACCAACTTTAATGTATGCAAAACATGGGTTTTTGTACTGAATATTATTAATCAGTGGTCAAGACAAATGTCCGATTAATTATTCTCCCAACAATTACCACTGTCAACGCCTTTCATACTGGAAATATATTTGGCGAATATACAGTAATTTCTATTCATATTTGTTCTGAGAATAGAATTTTGATTTTTAGGTATGGAAATATGTGAAAGTCAATAGGTCTACAGCGATCTTCTGGAGTTGTGAATTATATTTACATAGGACGTAGGCGACAGGGATTTGAATAATTGAAATACGCTAGACATAAAACCGCTTGTTCTTCAACATGTGCGTCTATCGTATCCGAATTGTTTTGAATACCGCTTGTACTAGCGCCCAAAGGGGCATGATCCTATCGACACTAAACATTGTTGGAATAGTATCTTTACTACTTCTCTGTTCTCTACAATTGAAGCGAGCGGAGACGTGAGGTCGCTAGTGATTGGTCCTACACAATAGAGCAGCTTCTTTTTTAGTGTTTTAACATACGTTTTATGTACCAGCTGTAAGTCACTGAACTCCCTGCTGAAAGAAGTTCGTTCAGATAATTATTAAAACACATTCTGAAACATCTTTCAAAAAGATTAACCGTAGTAGTTGCATACGGAAACGGTTACAGCGTACATAATATAACGCTAACTGTTTCCTTCTTGTGCATTTTCTGTACAAATAAATCTCATCATGCATTGTACAAATTAAATTTTCTTGCCTGTTTTGCACAAAAAAAAGCTGAAAAAGTCGAATTTGCATTCTTGTAATGAGACACTACCATGTTCGAAGCTCGTCCAAAACGATTAAGATGGTGTATTCTGATTATATCTAATAATCTTTGCGATTCATCCATTTCAAAAAATAATCCCCTCAAATGGTAATTCGAATTCAGTTTTATAAAATTAACTCATTTTCGTCTAATATTTTCTATTCAATAATTGTGATGAATCCTGAAGTCAGATGAGCCAGCTCTCTGAAGCATAACAATGAACAATTTGAATTGATAGATCATATTCCGTAATAAATATGCGATGTATCTGTTCAACTGGACGATGGTCATCTTTTCTTCTCTACTTGTTAAATTGAGAAAGCATTCAACCGTATCCATCTGATTTGGCTGCTCATCTTCACTATTTTTACATTCTCCTTTTTTCGATGATACATGAATATTTTGATTTTATACGTCACGACAATATTTACCTGTATAGATCGAGTATGTGTGCAAGTGAAAGTAAAATATAAATGCAAATAAAGTTTTTTGATGTAGGGCATTAACAGACTCAGGCGAGATGCAGCAAATATTAGCACGCTGAATGCTGCCACAATGAGATGAGAAAAGTTTTGTTTTCAAAAATCTGATGATGCAACTAAAATTTTAGATTTTTGGTCTATTCTCTATCCCTAGACAAAATCCTGCGTACTTTCTGTCGTTTTTCTACTAGGATCTTACAGGATCTTAACATTTAGGATCCACCTAATAACTTTCTAACAAGATCCTACTAGGAAATCGCTTAAGTTTGTTTAGGATCCCAAGAAATTAAAGCGAAATCCTAGTAGGATACTGGGAGGATATGGCTTAGATCGTGTCAGGAAACTCGTAGAACTTTTAATAGGGATAGAGCTAAAAAGATCGGTGCGCCTCGGTGGATCGAACGTTTTGTGCTCGGATAGGACATGTTTTTTGACTATTAAGCTTTTGGCTATTAAAAGCTGCGTTAGTCTGAATCTGTATCTCGCTTTCATGTCATTTCTTTTTTAGAATAAACTTTGTTCAGAGTTGATACGCAAAGAGTAAGCTTAGAATCGAACATTCAAAAAAAACTTTTGTATTAGGTCAAAGCGACTAATTGCCCCTCCTCAGAAATAATATCAAGTTTTATGAAGCTGACTTCGAGTATTGAATTATCGCGACTATTGTACTGTAATTTTGAGTTCTAGGTTTACAAAGATTATTATCTCACAGTCAATAGTTTAAATTCGGGAGAAAGACTAAAAGAGCTTAACTTGCATTTGAAAATTCATTTCTTATCCTTATTTGTTACGTTGACTGCATGTTGATACGTCTCATTCGTAACTACAGTGGAACCTTCTTTAATCCGAAATCTTATAGTCACTTCTTCCATTATCTGAACGCTTGTTTGAGTTCCCTCTATGCCTGTGTAAAAAAGGGGCTACTGTTCTATCTTTTATCATTTTCTTCTCGAATTTTGAAAAGATTTGATGAGATTTTTTTCTAAAGCACCAGCTGGTACTTTTTTATTTTGATGGTCCAACGCTTTTTCTTTGGCACTCTACTATTCACACACAATGAAGCAAACGATGTGTAGATTGCGCAAATTCGGGAGATGAGGAAAAGTTAATTTATGATTTTTTTTCTCTCTCAGTCAACATCGTATGTGTTTGTGTCTCGTCTACTGTTCAGATAAAAGATTTCTCTTATCGTCACATGGATTTTTGTCTTGCTCACACACATATGGTGGTAATGATTTTCAATTAAAATAAAAATGATTTTTCTAAATCGAATCCACAGTTGTGTTGTATTGGCTATGATAAAAAACATTCAATAGTTTCTTTTTTTCCTTCTTCGTTCTTGAGAACATTTATAGATAATAAAAAGTTGTCGATGAATTATACAAAATATAGATAAAATTCATCTCTGAAAATGATCAACAACAACAAAAGGTGGTTATTCGATGAACATCCAATAGATGAAGATTTTCTCTTGGTTGAAATTTAAACAAATTTAAATAATGTTTTCAAACTCATCGTAATCTATTCTGTCTACATTTATTTTTTTATTTTTATTTTATTTTCTCATCTATCGTTTTTCTTCTTTTCTTTTTTTATCAATATTTTCTCAAAATTTATTATAACGGCTCCATTAAACCTGAATTTCAAACGGATTCGTACGCATTCGCCATTGAGTGCAATTAGTTTGGCGAATATGACAACACCGCAACATGGTAACACAGAAACAAGTCAATATTTATGTTTATTCCATGTGATTACAGCTGGTTTACTTGACGATAATATGGGATCTGACGAACAAGAAATTATTGAAATCGTTCAAATTGTTATCGATACCGATAAAAGAAAGGTTAGTAATTCTAGGAATAAACTAGACTTCAGACACAATCCTACACACTTTCTGTCTATTTTCTACTAGCATCTTACAGGAACCTAACATTTAGGATCTATCTAATAACTTTCTAGCTTAAATTTGTTTAAGATCTTAACAGAATCTTAGATAATCCTAAGACTTTTGGGTATATCTGATTTCATTAGGATTCTCTAGGATTTTGTTAGAATCCTAAGAAATTACGCGAGTCCCTAGTAGGATATGTCTCGGATCCTGTCAAGAATCTCATAGGACTTTTACTAGGGTAAGTTAACCACATAGTGTCTTCGAGATAAGAATTCTACACTACTGTATTCTTTTTAAGTTCTAGATTTTGAACTTTAAAATGAATCTAGTTACTATGATTAAAAAAAAGATATTTTTTCTTGAAACAACATTTTGTTTCTAAATGATTAGTTATGCTTAAACTGATAAGATAAAACTTTCGATAAAATGAAAACAAGAATGTATGCCATATTTGCTGTTTGTAAAGTAAAGATAAAATTCTCGTAAAAGATAAAATTTTTCTTGTAAGAAACACTATGAGAATTCTGAAAATGCTATTCTAAGTGTCGCACAAATACATAGCTATGTGTGCACTCCACTACAGATAGCGACATTTTAACCTGTATCATGTGTCTATGTAGACTTTTGTTTCTTTTTAGACATTAGCTGTAAACAGACAATACGTTCATCCAACATTTATTTCTACATTATCTGACGAGTGTAAAGAACAAACTGGAATTGACGAATCTCTACTGTGCAATGAGCCGGAATTAGATAGCGTGTTACAAGAAGTATAAATTACATACAACTTCTTTGCCTCTCTAATTTAATATACATTTTGTTTTGTTTTCTAGTTTGATTTGTTTTTACGTGAACGAAATTTATATTCCGATAATCATACTAAAGCTAATTTGGTACTTGTTTGTGATAATAATTTACATTTACGACAATGTTTACACCCGGAAGCAGTAAAAAAAGCCATCATATTACCGGATTATTATTGGTCTTATTATGATCTTCGACAAAATTTTAATAAATTTTATAGATCTGAATGTAACAGTATTCAAAGCATGTTGGAAAGTATCCTTTTTGTTTGAAAAAGATTTTACAACAATTTTTTAATTAAGCTAACAATTTCTATATAATACAGGTAGAAAAATTGGGCTAT